ATTTTTATTTATTAAAAATTGGTTAAATGTTAAAATAAATTGTTAATTATATTACATTTGCACATGCATTTTGATATTCAAAGATAAAAAAAAGGAAAAATAAAATATAATGCTAATTTCTTTAATTGTATTTCTATTATTCATTTACTTGTTTATTTATTTACTCTTCGTTGCAATTATTTTATTTTATTTCCATTATTATGTAGAATTTTAATTAGGAAAATAAATTTTAAAAGTCATAAATTAATAAATCTGAACAATAAAGTAGGACAAAATAGGTTTAAATCATGAGGAAAATCAATCTTGAATGTGTATTTATAGTTATTTAAGATAAACTTTTTTATAGGAAAAATTATATTAACAAAATACTAAAGTTTTTAAAAAAATTTTCAACTTTCGACAAAAACGTAAGGAAAATCAAGTAAAGGTTTTTTTATAAACTTGTTTGATTTTCGCCAAATCGTTGAAAAAATAAAGAAAAGTTTTCTTCTAAAGTTTTTCTATTTTCTCCAAAAAATTGAGAAAATAGTTTTCTTTTACAATCTCTTGATTTTGGCCAAAGTGTTGAGAAAATTAAGAAAGGTTTTCTTTCATTCTAAAATTTTTGAATTTTTGCCAAAGCTTTGGGAAAGTCATAAAAAGTTTTCTTCATTTTAACATTTTTGAATTTTCAGCAAAATAGTGGGAAAATTCAAGAAAGATTTTTAATGTAAAAAATACATTAGTAAATAACAATAATTTAGAGAAATATTTTTTTTTGAAAGATAAGGATATCATTAATCAACAAGGAACAAAAATTCCTTGGAAGCAAACAACCAGCGTCCCACAGAACAAATAAGAATAAGAAATAAACAAAGAAAGAAGAAACAAAACAAGAGAAACCATAAAATCAAAAACCAAACATAGCCTTCACGGCCAGACAGCAAAAAGAGGATTACTGCTGTAAATATCAGCAAAGGAAAACACCATTCTAAATCAAGGGTAGTGGCAATAATCAGAGGAACAGCCCAACAAGAAGAAGGAGAAGAAATGCCCAGAAACTGTAACCAGAAAACATTGAATCAAAGTGAACAAGAGTCCACCAGAAAACACATATAACAGCAGACTTCAAAGGCTCAAAAAGTTGGAACCAGTGGGAACAGAAAATCAATTAATTGCATCAATGGAGTCGCCACAACATCTAGTATCTTTAGAAAACTGCATAAGAATTCTACCACATTTTTCTTAGAATGCCTCCAATTTTCGAATTCCCTTGATTTCTCCTAACTTAAGTTAACTCGGAAGAAGATGTTTCCATTCAACTAATTTCCTTTTACACTTAGCATTTATTCGATCAGCACCCAACATAGGATCGCAAAACAGATCAGCCACAGACACATTCAAGCCTGACCATCTAGATTTCACCCACTAATTTTGATAATATCCATAACCTCTAAGCTATCCCATTGTTTACCATTAAAAACAAGGTCGTTTTTGTGTAACCCGAAAGACCAAATAATCCCAAAAAATGCAATCTTCCAGATTTTAACAGTTTCATTATTGGAGAAAGCATTATTCCAAGCATAAAAAAAAAAAAACTCAATCGCAGAACAGGGAACGACCCATGTATTTCCCCATACCTGACACCACACAGAATTTCCAGCTTTTGATGCAGGTGAAAAATAGATGATTAATTTATTTAATCTCCTTATGGCATAATAAACAGATAAACACATTTTCTAAGTAAATCTTCCTTGACAATGAGTCTTCCATTCATAATAAGCCAACACGAAAGTTCGACTTTGAGAGGGTTGTTCCATGAAGCTTTGTTAACCCATTCATAACCATAAACAAATCTACAAAAGCCTTTGGCAGTATAATTTTCATTGTGAGAGAATTTCCAAATCAACTTATCCTTCATAATGGAGTAAAGAAAGAACTCAACAAGAAAGTGCTTAAAATGTTGCCATTGGCTGTCTTCCCAACCAAAGGTTCTTCTTTTAGTTTAACATCCCATTTCCAATCATGGTTCTCCTATTTGCCCGAACCATTAACATTTCCATCTTTATTGATGGCTAAGGTAAACATACGCGGAAACAAATCTTTTTGCGAAGATTCATTGGACCAGCAATCATGCCAAAAGAAAAAAACCTTGCCATCTCTAACGGCGAAACCCAGACCTGCAGAAACAGTATCAAAGTAATGGTTAGAGGGAGAAAGGGGACAATGATATTTTCCCCCAAGCTCGACACTCTTCCATTCCTAACTCTCGGCACAAGCTTAGAAAGGTTCTCTCCATTTATCTCAACCATAACCTGCCTCCATAGATTTTCAGTTTTAGACCCATATCTCCACACCCATTTATTGAGTAAGGCTTTTTTTTTTAAGAATAAGGTTAGCGATACCCAGTCCACCACAAACTCTGGGCTTTCCCATCAAATTCTCCCCGTAAGAATTACCTCTGAATTTTATCCAGCTCATTCGTAACCGTCATCAGCAACGGGATCAAAGACATATAATATACTGACAGACTTGAGAGGACAAATCTGATCCAAGTCAGACGACCACCAGAAGTAAATAACTTTGGCATCCCACCCAACAAGTCTAGTTTTAACTCGGTTAAGCATTGGAAGCCACATATTCACAATTAGCCCTGGTACTAAGCGGGAGTCCCAAGTACGTAATTAGCAAATAGCCAACCTTATAGAAAATTCTAAAAGCACAAGAATTCAAAATAGCATCATCAACACCAATTCCATATAGAAGACTTTTCTGGAAGTTGATTTTTGAGACCAACCATGACTTCAAAACATCTTAAAAACTCTCTTAATGCTGGCGATGTCCTTAAAATTAGGTCTGCCGAAGATAAAATTATCATCTGCATATTGCAGATGGGAAATAGAGAATCCATTCCTCCCATTGACAACACCTTTAAACATCTCAAGATCAACCGCCTTGTTCATAAGAATGCCAAAAGCTTCAACAACTAAATTAAAAAGAAAAGCCTCAACCCTCTACCCATCTTAAAGTGTTCAGAAGGAGACCATTGACAAGAACCGAAACACAAGAACGAATCCAGTTCCTCCGTCTTTTCCCAAAATTCATTTTCTTCATAACAAGATCTATGAACCCCAATTAATACTATCAAATGCTTTTTCAAAATCAACTTTAAAAATGAGCCCCCATTGTTGTCTTTTCACATGCTTTCCACTATTTCATTAGCAATCAAAGCACAATCGAGGATTTTTCTACCTTTGATGAAAGCGAACTGATTTTGACCGATAACCTCCACCACCACCCTACTTAAGCGATTAGTTAAAACTTTAGTAACAATCTTGTATAGCAATTTAGAGAAATAAAAGTACTTGGAATTTATTAAATAAGGCTAAGAGATGACACATGATTCATTAAGTGTCATTTCCAATAGACGTGCGAGGGTGTTAATGTCTTTCTCACACATAATCGTACTCGTAAATTTAGTTTGTTTCATAAACCAGAATCTGTCATTTTTAATGAAATTAAGTAAAGTATAGAAATTCATCAGGAAAGATAAATTCACATAAGTGATCCACTTAAATAAATAAAAAAAATCAATAATAATTCCTCTTTTACATCGAATGGTTGAGTTTTCGAACTCAGGTATGACACTTATCTCTTTTAAGGGCATGCACTTTGTATATATTCAGTTTTCCTTCTTGCTACCCTTACTCTTCCCAATTCATTCTTTTGCAACTTGCAACATTAATCCTCTTCCCATATGTCCAAAGGATCTTTTACATTAAGAATTAAAGGAAAATTTTTAGTTTCCATTTCCCTTTATTTAATCTACATCATCAAGGTAGATAAATACATACCTTATTCACGTTAATTATTAATTATGAATGACTTCAATTTGCTATCATATCCTGCTTGAACCTCATCGATAAGATCAAGTCCCTCTGTCCATCATTTCGTATATGTTCGAGAGTCAATGTTGTCCTATGGCTTCGATACAATAAATTTTTATAAATTAACTACTACAATATATCTATTGATGGAACGGCCTTCACGCATGAAAACCCTATATAGTATATAGTTTTGTTATTCTGTGTTTGCATTGTAAATCATAGTGGGGGACAAACACAAAGTCAAAGCTGATTATCCCCATGCAGCTTTTATCCTTATTTTGAGTGCGCAAGCCAGGGGCTACCCATACCCTCCAAGAAACAAGAAAGAAGCAATATTGCACCCATACTCCCAACAATAAAAGAGAACTAAGTGAGCAAACTTTCAAAAGGAGCAGATTAGGGACTCATTTTGGTTGGTTAGTCACTGTGCAAACAAAAGTTATATCAGCTGCCCCATGCATGCTGCTATATAAGGGTGTTCTTCATGTTAAGGATACAGTGTATTGTTTCAGAATCAAAACTTTAAAGTGAATGTGTGTTTTAAATATATATTTGCCTATCTATTATATGGAAACAGTTGAGCCTAATAATATATACTAATAGTGAAATTCAAGTTAATTATCATGTCTTGAAAGATTAAATTTTGTCAGGCAAATGATATTGAAAACACGCTATTAACAATTCTCGTCTGATCTTAATTACAATCAAACAAGAAAGTATTTCGGTTTTGCTTTAAATATTTTGCAATTAACCCTAGTATTGTCTCTGAAGTACTCTTCTTTTTTTTTTGTAATTAACCCCAGTATTTTTTCTGAAGTATCTTAAACTTAAACTGGTAACTATATAAAATGATTGCTGCTTAAGATTTTACTGAATATTTTAACTAATAAGATATACCTATTTGAGAGCAAGAGCTCTTTTAGCCCTTAATTTGACCTAATTAATTATGTAACAATTAAGATTCAACTAATTAATTGGCACAAAAAAGCTTGGTAAGTTTAATATTTTGAAATTGGTGAATTCATCACGTTTGGACGTTGAGAGGCTAGTTGAGTGCAAGGGTACTTCTCTTATTATATTATTAGTTCCCTTTAATTAACACAGCTTTGCACAGAGATTATGTAGTCATTCAACTTCAACTAGGTTCTTAGCTAGTAACAAAGCCCTAAGATTAAAAAGGACAAAGGGAAATGCAAAGGGATAAGAAAAAGGTAGAGAAGCACCCTATTACAAAACGTACTGAACTCTAATAAAATCGATTAGCCTTAACTCTATTGCATAAGTAAACTGCGGATTATGGCAGCTTGGGCGCTGTCGGTTGTTGCTAGTAGCTCAGATAGTCTCTCGCTAAGATCATCAACCTCTCTATGCAAGCTTCTAATGTAGTTGCAAGTATCTTGTAAGACTTTGGCAGCTGAAACCTGTCAAGAATATTATTAAATCTTAGTTAATTAGCAGAACAAACGAAAACAGGAGCTGGGTTTTCCTTAATTAAGCACTAGTAAATTTAAGGAAAGGAGACTATATATTTATATATGCAGTGCAAAGGAAAAGAAAGAAGTCTTTAAATAGCAGGAATTAATGAATATATATGAACAAAATTAACTTCTTCATGTTAAACTTTGACTGGATAAATCAATATATAATTTTGTTTCTATTTTCGAAATCTTTCTTAAAATTAACAAAATTGCACCCCCTACTCTTCTGTAGTTGTTCTCTTCAACATTGCTGGCAAAGTGGCATAAAGAAAACCTTGAGAAACTACAAACTTGATAGTAATTTATTCTTCCTTTTCACGATTAAATAAATTATATATGCATGGGAAATTGTTATAATAGATATACCAAAATTAAGTCATATTCTTCAGTTACTTCCAAACGCCCTGTTTGGTAAACGAGGTTTCTTCAGTTATACTCCAAACGCCCTATTTTTTGGAAATAGGTAAACAAGGTTTGGTCCTTTCTCCTGAATTGGAGAATGAAAATCCTTTTTCCGTTCTTAATAGGAAGTTGGGTAAACGAAAGGTAATTAATTAAATTAAATTATACATATAACTTATACATATAGATATCAATGACAAATTAAGAAAACTCCTAGAAGGGAGTTGAAAATACCTTATCGGAGTGTCTGTTACGAATCTCAGGAAGAAGTTGCTGCAATTTGGTAACAAGATCATCGATCTGATCATCAGTTATTCTTGAACTTCCTGATTGCCTTGATCTTGACCTTCTGCTAGACATCTTAGGATATAGAGCAATGAAATTACTTGACACACAGACAAATATATATATATGTTTATATATATTGCTAGGAATTGAAGAAGAAGTGAATACTGTATATCTCTTTGGGTGGAATACAACTTAAAAAGAGATGAGCAGAGGAACACAAAGTAGTGGTTTTGAGGGAGACAAGTTATGGAGGAAGAGATAGTGGTGTGCTTTGAGGAAAGGAGAGAGAAAGCAGAAGAAAGAAAATACACACAAGTAAGCAGGAAACAAGTGGTGTTGGTGTTGGTGTTGGGGACAGGAGAGAAGACAATTGCATGGGGGAAAGGAGTTGCTAGAGCTTGTATTTAAACAGGGTTTTGGAGAGAGAAAGAATTAACTCCCTCTGGATGCCCCATACTGTCTTTCTTTGGGTCTGTTCCCAATTTGATTCACCTTTATTTTCATCTAAAAACCTGCTCTTTCGTTCACTCACAAAGAGAGAGAGAGAAAGAAAGAGAAAGAGAGAGTTGCTTGGTTTTAAGCCAGCTGATCAGTGCTTGTCAGTCCACACGCAATACCATGCAAGTTTATTATTTTCATCGCTGTTAAAACTGGTTTCCTTGAGATGTCAAAACAAAACCATTAAGCTAGCTAATCAGTTACACATGATTATGTAATTCAATAATGTTTAGTTTAATTTTTTATAAAAGAATTTTTAATCTTGAACAATGAGAAGATAAATTAAAAAAAAAAGTACAAAAGCTTTCATTTGTGTAATTTATGAATTTTCTTCTATCATAAGGTTATCCCATGAAGAAATAGGACTTCACAGTGGATCTCAGCTTTGCAAACACTTTGGATTTGTTGATTGAAGTTTTAATAATATGTCCTAAAACAAATAACGAGAAAGGGAAAAAATTTAAGAAAAATAAGCAAGAACATGTAAAGTAGGGTAGAGTAAGTGAAGAGGGTAGGGTTGGTTGACTGGTCAATAAGTCTAGGAAAAGCAGTACACACACACACACACACACCATGTTCTTTGCAACACCGGATGCACCCCACCGCACGTGTTATCTTGGAGACCCAAAGCCTTCGCACCGACCCTTCTCCGGGGCACTAGGTCTTTATATTCTCACCGCAAAACTAAAACTATGGTTTTAATTTATCCAATTTTTTTAATGGTTTTGTGGTTCTCGTAGTTCTAGTTCCCTGCATTGTGCGGTGAATGGCGGTTAAACCAATATTTCAAATGTCTTCTTCTCTTGGGCACTTGAATTTTTAGTACTATGTGTCTCGTTTTGTTTGTTTCTGCTTGATTTTTTTATTAAATAATTTCAATTTTCATCATTACTTTATAAAATATTATATATAATTAAAATTTCAAGAAATATATTTTGAAAAATTTAAAATTCAAAATTCAAAATTTTCAAATGTTATTTTTAAATTTTTTATAATTTTATTGAATTTGTTGGACAAAAAAAATAAATAAACGAAAAATATACTAAGATGGGAGGATTCGGGTGTAAGGCGAGGGATTCGTGGGACAAGCCCTTATCATTGAGAATTAATTAATTTGGGAAATTCTAGGATCACTACTTTAATTAGTTGTCATTGTAGGTTTAGTTATTACTTTTTCGATTGCAGTATCTAATTGGCATGACAATAAGAATATCTACATGAACTGTAACTGTATATTAATTCTTTGATGCCAACCTGTTAATATCTATGAACATTAATTAATTAAATATTTCATTAAACTCTCTTAATTAATTAAGGCAGCAGTACCTCCATGATTTACTCTATATTAACTAATCAAAATATTGCAAATAATTTAATACTAAACCCGTTGGCAGATTAATCAGCAAGGGTTTCCTACCATCATTTAGGATGAAATTATGTCTAGTGAGAATTATAAATTTTAAACATATGTAAGATTGATCCAATCTTGAATAAACCTCGTTATGCTCTGCCTGCGTGGAAATGATTTTTCCATAAACACGTGCTTGTGACCCGCCAATAATCGTAAAAGGGTAGAGATTCGATTAATTTAATTTTAAAAAATCAAATTATTAATTTGGCTATCCATAACTAAGTTTATACGTATATATCTATATTTAATAAATCCCCTTTTTCATTCCAAACAAAAAAAAATAAATAAGTACTTGAAGCTTTGAAACCTTGTGGTAATCAAATTGGTTTCTTTGGTACTCTTTTTACTTGCTTATCGTTATTTTTATTTTAGTTTTTTTTTGAAGAAGTAAGAATAAAAAGTAAAACAGAATATCATAATTGATTTAAAATACATAAATAGTTAAAATATAACACAAATTATAACATAATTAGTGCAGGCAGGTTGATAGCGAAAGTTTGTAACAGGTCGAGCTTTCTAGAATAGAAACAATGGCTAGCGGTACTCCTAATGAATTTATATTATCAGTCTGGTCTGATGACTTCAAGTCGATTCATCAGTCGCTTAATTGACCAATTAAAACCAAAGAGATATGTATCTGTTATATATATATATATATGTATATTATATACTACAAAACAAGATTCTTTCTCAATCAATGAACAAGAATAAACAAAAGAGAAACTAAGGCTACGTCTTTGATGATTAAAGGATCTGATCAGTCTCAGATGTTAAATGGTAGTGTGCAGTGATGAAGGGGATAGAGAGGTGCTCAGCGTGCATCTCGGCGCACATGAGCTTGATCCAATGGCCAGCGAGGACAGCGCTCAAGGTCACGAGGACCCTCCATTTCTTTATTTCTTTCAAATCCAGTGTTTCTTCTCTGTTAGAAATAGAATATTGAGTCTAGACTAAATTTTTGAGACTCCAAGAAAGATGTAGAGCGATCTTCTTACTTGCTAGCATATGCTACTCTGTGCAGTTTTGTTTATATATTTTATTATAGACTCAATTGTCATAAACGTAACATGCATGTCTTGGATGTGGCAGATATTAATGAACGATCTCTTTTTCTGTCTTTTGTCTTTATTTCTTTCATCTTTGAGTCGGTGAAGGGATGGGAGACCTCGGAATGGTGATCAGCTTACTGATTAATAAAGCCACTTCTTAACCGTCGAAATTAACTGATTGACACGTGAGCCTTTGAAACGTGGGATCGTTAGCTAGAGAGTTAGGCCACTAGCTACCACAATTTTGTTTGCCTCGGACAGATTTTGGTCAACCGACAAGACTACCTTTATTGTGGCAACCCATATGATGTCAAAAACTAGAAAATTCGTGGAAGAATTTATCTTCTAAAAGTTTGCGTCGTCCAAGTCTTTGATTAGCTCTCTTTTCATTAACTCACAACGATATTGCTTTTCTATCAAATGTAGATTAATTACCTTCAAGGCTAAGCATTTGAAAACTTGTCATCGCTTTCAATATTACTTTAATATTGTGACTAAGATAAACTACCAAAGGAACTAGGAAACACAAGCTTAGTTTATCTTAGAACTTTTGTGATAATGCCGGAGTAGTATAATAAGATCTACTAAAAAATAAGTAAATCAATTAACATAATCGATAGACACACTTGACGGTAGATTAGACAAACCTGAAACCTAGTTATGATCTTTGTCAACAACCTTCACTAAAGAGTTGGATGGAGACGACTGAGTAGAATATGTCAGGATTTTGGGGAAGTGCTAGATGTTTTTATCCCAAAAGAGAGATCTAAACTTGGGAAATGTTTGAGGTTTGTGAGGTTTCAGAATGTTCATGAAGCATAGAGGGCCATATGGAGACTTAACGGTTTTTGGTTACCAAATAACAGGATTGGAGTGAATAAGGCTAGATTTAATCCAAGAAGTGCATATTGGAAAACAAGAACGATTGGGGTGGAAGGAGGTAGGATAAAGGTGAGAAGTTTCAAAATAGGAAAACAATTGACAAAGTGCCTGCCAAAATGCAAGAACTAGAAAAATAGAATATTTTGGGTGCTATGGTAAGGATAGACATCAACTATGAGGGTGGATGCTCATGTAAGGGGATTGAAAAGATGCCGAGCCTTTATTGAAGGTGAGTTCACGAAGATTTGGAACCCCAACATGTAAAGGGTTTGGTGAAGACTAAACTAGGTGATGGCATTGAAATTGAAAAGATTGCATCTAATTTCTTCTTAATTTATTTCCTAGATGAGATTTTGAAGGAAAAATTGAGGGTTGATAATTGGAGAGGGCTGTCAAAATTCTTTGAGGAGATTGATAATTGGTCTTCTATGGGTTTTAAAACAAGGACTTGTTGGGTATCATATATGGAGGTACTTTTACGTCTATGGAATTTAAAAACATCCCAAAGTATTGGTGATGCTTTGAGCTATATTATGAAAATAGGGGAAAAGACCTTAAAGTTTAATTCTTTTGAAAAAGATATTTTAGATTCTAATCATTGATATGAAATCCATATGTGAAAAGATAGTGTTGGAGGAGGAAAACTCTATTTTTCATGTTTGGGTCTCTAAATTTCTAGCTTATAATATCCTTGAATGCTCTCACTTTGGAAAGGTGCAAGAATGGATGACCAACTCATCTTCATCCATGGACACTTAGGTGGAAGGGATGAATGCCACTAAATCCACGGAGGATAAGGGGTCTTTGGGGGGGGGGGGGGGGGGGGTTTATGCCTTGAGAGTAAGAATCATAATGAAGACAAACATTTTTTGATTCTGTGGAGGTGGTGAGACAAGAAGAGAATGAGGTTCTGATGTCACTTGAAAACCAAGAGCTTGATGAATATGTCAAAAATTGGCCAACATTGATATATAGTCCAACACATGGCAAAATGAAGGTAATGCTTATAGTTGAAGAAGAAAAGGGAGTTGTTAGGTTGGGTTGTGAGGAAACATGGGCCATGGAGATAGTAGTGTTGGGCATGCCCAATGATGAATAACTTGAAGCTCGGCTCAAGACAACTGGTAGATGACAGGTTAGAAAATAATGGGCCAACAAACTCAAGCCTAAATCATGGAAAGGAGCTTAATGGATTTGAAGAGATGGAAGGATAGGTTTCAAGCCTAGTAAAC